AGAGCGCTTTGGCTGACATTTCCCCGTGCGCGGAGCCAGCCTCTCCCTCGGGGCAATCATCATTCCAGGGGGCCCAATTTCTCAACTTTTGGGTTTTCGTATTCACAATGTATGTTTAACACGTAGGCTTTCGCGACCAATATTATTCATAATCAACGTTTTTGGGTTTAGATCGCGTTATTTATAAATGTGTCGTAACCCTCCACCACCCGACACGGCCAATCAGTAAAAAAGTGTCACGTTGACAAAAGACAAATAGTTCACTGCTTTAGCATTGAACTAGTTGTGGTTTCACGCTTCAACACACCGGTGGGCTAAAGCAGTGAACTATTTGTCTTTTGTCAACGTGACACTTTTTTACTGATTGGCCGTGTCGGGTGGTGGAGGGTTACGACACATTTATAAATAACGCGATCTAAACCCAAAAACGTTGATTATTCACAATGTATGTTTTATATTTTTATTTCTCATTATAGACCACAGCTTCGCCTGTAAGCAGTGGCAAATTCCTACTTTTAACCCTTCCAGCGGCATCGAGAGGATTGACACGAGTCGTGGAACGCATGTTTACACAATGATACACGCCCTACGATAGACACAGCGCATTCATGAATCATTTGTCTGCGGTCGTAAACCAAATGACGCAGTTCCGATCGCATCTCCATCCTTGCTTCGTATTGAAGACGCTGCTGCGGCCGCTTGTGGCAAGCGGCGTACGTTAGATATCATTAGTACGCTGCGCATATATAATTGATGCGCGCATTACGAATGAATGAGCGAGTACACTGTATACCAGTGCATTACCGCACCATCACTGCCTACGAACTAAAAACATAGAGCGATAGATTTCGATTCCAAGCTTTCGTGACTGCAGGGATTCATATGCTTGGTTCTTTCGGTAAAGTCACGTAGAAGGGAAATAATAAAATAATAAAAATAAAACATAATAAAATTATTGTTTTATAATAAAAAGAAAACATAATAAAATGATTCTTCTTGGTTCTTTCGGTAAAGTCACGTAGAAGGGAAATAATAAAATAATAAAAATAAAACATAGTAAAATGATTGTTTTATAATAAAAAGAAAACATAATAAAATGATTATTCTTGGTTCTTTCGGTAGAATTGTATTTTATCATGTTTTATTTTTATTATTTTATTACTTCCCTTCTACATGACTTTACCGAAAGAACCAAGAAGATGAATCCCTGCAGTCACGAAAGCTTTAAATCGAAATAAAATGATTGTTTTATATTTTTTTATTATTTTTGTATTTCCCTTCTACGTTACTTTACCGAACGAACCAAGAATATAGAGCGATAGATTTTTTTTTTTACTTATGGGACAATTGAAAATTGTCCAGAGCGTTCTTCTTATTTCATCGGTTTTCCCCGGCTATTGGTGCCGCCTTTCACCCCGCAGCCCCCTCGATCTGCGCGTGTCTCGACGCCTGCTCGCAATGGAACGCGGTGTGCAGGGAGTGACGCGGACAGAGGGCTAGAAACAAGTACAATCAGCGCAGCGGCTGCGTCGTTCCCTTTCTGTACGTGCGTGCATGTTGCACTTCTTTCGCACCGTACGTAGCTAACCGTGCTAATCGCGGGTGCCAGCCCTGCACCTCGCTCTAGCCCTGCATGAGAGCTCGTAGACGCATCGTGAGCTATTTGTATCGTGAGCTATTGGTATGCATGGGCGCCGTGGTGGTGAATTGTTTACTACCTCGCCTGGTATACAAGAGGTCGTGGGTTCTATGCCGACCCTGACGCCTGCTGTACATTTGGAGTTCCCACGCTCACCCCGTGGTTGCGTGGATTTCTCTCCGGATACTCCGGCTTCGTTCCCCCTCCACATTTAGGAATCTACGTGCGTTTAGGAGTGTTTGGCCGAAATACATTTCCACGTGAAGGCGATCAGCCACTTCGTTGACCAACCATTTATTGATAGCCAGGTCGCATTCTGAAATAAAAGAGCGAAATAACTCAGTGGGCCTTACCTGGTAAAGTAAAATAAATAAAATAGTAGTACTGCAGCAGTAAAGAAGATGTTTGAAATACCTCGTTGCTAAAAACTTAACCTCCTCCCCAATGGCAATTGCCGTGTCCGTGTCTGTGAGTCGTTTGTGCCACGTGACTTGCCACTTCCGCTCTGGCGGTTCGTGGCGAAGGCGATGTGGGGTGGGTGGGAGGGGAGGGGGTGGTGGGGGGTGGTGGAGGGGTAGGTGGTGGGGGGGGCTGGTGGGGGTATTGGTGGGGTGGGGGCTGGTGGTTGGGGGGGGGGCTTTCATTCAAACGTCTGTCCACGTGGCGCGTGTTGGAGCAGGCCCCACTCTGGACCGGTTTTGACGACATTCATTTGAGTCTCACCGGCAAAATGCAGCCGCGCAGTGTACAGGATGGTCCAGACGTCTTGTGACCCCCAATAGATTGACCCCCCTAAATATGTTTTTTTTCTACTGATCTTTGCACATTCATTTCTGTTTTAAATAACCTTAACTTAAACAAAATAAGTTTTAGAGAATCAAATGGTGGTCACAAGACATCTGGACCATCCTCTAATGTCTGTTGCCTCCTTGCTCCCCATCCATCCGTGCTACCCACCTCCTGCCCTTTATTCATGCGTAGACTCAAGACCTTCCTCTGCCTAACGTTGACATTTGAGCTCTCAATGCAAGATATAAATGCGCCCGCAGTTGTTCCTTCTGCACAGCGTCGTGAGATGCGGGCGCACGCAGATACACGCCGCCCGTCAGGACGAATTCACATGGTGCGCGTACCGCATTCTGTACACGACTGCGTACACGTGCACGCCACGCTACAGCGAGTAAGCTGCGAGCACGCCCCACAGTTCTTCTCAGGCTGTTTGTTCGGGCGCATATCAATTGTTATCGATTCTGCAGCTTGTGTTCAATCGAGCGGTCGACAAGTCATGGTTGTTCCACTGCATTGGCACGAAGCTTGTGACATGCAACGCGTAAAATATCTGCAGTTAGACACAATGGGTGTTCGATTTCGATTTAAAGCTTTCGTGACTGCAGGGATTCATCTTCTTGGTTCTTTCGGTAAAGTCACGTAGAATGGAAATAATAAAATAATAAAAATAAAACATAATAAAATGATTGTTTTATAATAAAAATAAACATAATAAAATGATTGTTTTATAATTTGTATTATTTTATTATTTCCCTTCTACGTGACTTTACCGAAAGAACCAAGAAGAAAAATGGGTGTTCGATTTAGTCGTGTAGCGTCCAGCCTCGAATGGGCGGTCAGCACTTGCTTGGTGCGGTGAGCGAATGTGAACCGCTGGGGAGACAAAGGCGGGACCCCACAGACGTGAGTCTTGTTCCACGTCGCGCCCTCGCGCGCCCCGTGGTCGACCTTAATAGGTGCTCGCAAACAGCCTGTCAGAGGCTACACGGGGTGATCGTGTGACTTTGAGTCTCGTGTTGTGCACGCGTGCCACGGACGACGCGAAGGCGATTTGAAATCAGGGCTCGTTGCATCACGTGGGACGCGTTTAACAATCATCGGGCTCGTGCAGCGTGTAGAGGCTTAATTGTCGTTGGCGCGGATGGATGGTTGGTAAGGCGTGCACAGAGAGTTGGTAAGGCGTGCACAGAGAGAGGGTGTGGGGGGCGTGCGTCGTGATGACTGGGGAGAAAGGGAGGGGGGTGAGGCAGCCTATTAACGTCGTTTCGCAAAGACGTCGTCACTTTATTATTATTAATTATTAACACCGCCACCTGTAATACAGGGAGTTTTTTGGGGGGGTGGTTAGATCGCGTAAATAATATTAACGCGATATTGGTCACGAAAGCCTACTACGTGTTAAACCGCCACCTGATTTGCGTCGTCTCAACCCCACACTTACGTATCGTCCCGTTCGTTCTCGTATCCGGCGCCTCTCAGCCTTCGCCTCCACCGCCTACACCCACTGTGAATCGCTTCGATGTGCGTCGCTTTGATATTTCCTCGCGGGGAACGCATCCCCGACGCAAACCGAGGTTTCACTGAATTGTGGACTTTATGCTGAAGCACACAACGGCGGTGATAATCTCTACACAACCTCGCCTCTCATCAGAGGTCGCAAACGGGTTTTGATTCCTTACCCCTACCCGTACCCGGCCGCACCAGGGTCGCAAACGGGTACCCATACCCGGCCGTACCCGTACCCTACCCGTACCCGGCTGGGTACGGGTAGGGTACTGGTATCGGGTACCTGATTGCGACCTCTGGGATGAAGCCATGTTGCAGGCGCGGGTGGGTTGATTCTAGGAACTTGAATTGTGAGAAGAGACAAGACGTTGGGAAATGAGTGACAAACGGTGACTCACCAGTGACTCACGGACTACCAGTACCCGTACCCGGCCGCACCAGGGTCGCAAACGGCTACCCGTACCCGGCCGCACTGCTCTCTCTCGCTCTCTCGTTGGTGATGAGACACAGATTTTTATTGTTCTTTCAAATATACGCCACATCAACATCGGATAACGATTACAAAACGACGACATTACAGTGTATGTACATTCATCCCGTCAAGTACCTATATATACGCGTCCCTAACCATCACTAGGATTATGCTATACAACCACGGCGTCCTTCAGCTCTCAAATCCTATTGTCTTAAAATTTTTTTACCATTATTTTAGGGTGGGGTGGGGGAACTTCGCATGAGTTTAATTGGAAAACAAAGTCAGATATTATTTTACCGTACGTTTTAAACTCCCCCCCCACCTCATCATCATCAGTATCATAATCAATATCGTCATCATCATCAATATCATCATTAATATCATCATCAAATTAATGGACGAACTCTGGAGATGAAAGAGTCGCTTCTGTACCGGGCAGAAATCTCCCAGCGCGAGATGCAGATAACAGGGATATATATATAGCACTTAGATCGAGACGTTGATATAGCGGAAACGAATCATCCACACGTCCTGTCACTGATTATTAGGTCCTTGTTTGCGTGGCGGGGGTTTATTGTTATTATTTTATCGTGTGTGTAGTTCGGGTTTGTTTAGTTTCCAGTCTCACTCTGGTCGAGTCACGCCCGATTCGCCACGCGCGACTTCCCCCAATACACAAACGCAGCGGCGGTGGAATTTAAGAATTAACGCGACCCCCCCCCCTCCCAGCACGGAGATATCCATGGGTGTGATCTCTCCTACCCCCACCACCACAACCACCATCACCACCACCAACCAACCAACCACTCTTCATCTTAGCCTTCCTCCAAACCGTCCCTTCGCTTCTCCATCCTCCATCCATCCATCCTCCTCGTTCTTCTGTCTTCTCTCGTGCTCTTCGTGCGTGCGTGCTCGTGGGTAGGTTGCGTGCGCACTCCGTGTACGTGTGTGTATGCTTGTATACATGTATATATTTATATATAAAAGTCCCACGGCGAAATCAGACGGGCCTCTCCATGGCGTACTGGCAGGCGCTTAACGCCGCGGGAGGCGGCTGCACGCCCGGCGGGTAGCCGAACCCGGAGTGCTGCTTCGCCTTGAGACGCAGGCTGGCCAGGCTCGAGTTGCACGTATCCCTGTACATGTACGCGGCGGCCGGAGGGCCCCCGTAGGGACACGTGGGGCCGGCCGAGCTGAGCGCGGGCCCGCTCAGGTTGTTGAGGCCCGCGCTGGGCACGCTGGGCACGGACGGTGGCACCATCCCCGTCGACATGCTCATGGTGCCCGGAGACGAGAAGACGCTCTGCGACGAGAGAGCGGCGTTCATGTTCATGGAGTTGAAGAAGGGGAAGCTCTTGGAGGAGAGCGGGTTGGAGGTGAGACTCTTGGCCGCCCAGTTGTTGTACGAGTATCCCGAGTACATGTCATCGTAGGGCTGCATGAGTCCGTTGAACTGGGGGCCGAAGCCGTTCTTGCAAAGCTCCGCATGCTGGTTCCGCTCACGTTTCCGCCACTTGGCGCGACGGTTCTTGAACCACACCTGGAGAGGGGGGGGGAGAAGGGGGTGGTATGGCAGAGGGGGGGGGGTAGCAGATTGGAGGTGAGAGGGGGGGAGGCGGCTGTTAGCAGAGGGACAGACGCGTAGGTTGCGATCCGCGAGGGTCGTGGTTTGATCGCGAATTTTTGCCGGTTCGCGGTTATCCACGCGCGCGTTCTATGATCGGGTTTCGGTGGAGGGGCTGGAGGGGTGGGAGGGGGGGGGGTTCTTCCGCGCGTTAATGTTCGACGTTTCGCACCCACGTTGCCCGGAGCTTGTTCAGTTCGTTCCTTCTTCGGTAACCGATTGAAAACTGAAGAAGGAGCAGCGGCTCCCGAGCGCGCGGTGCGAAACGTCGGACATCACGCCGAGCAGCGCGCGGCACGAAGAGCACGTACATCGGGAGGACCGTAAAAACACACGGCGCAGCCGCAACGCAGACGGTGATTACTTCGCGCACAGAGAGAGAGAGAGGAAGGGAGAGAGAGAGCAGTTGCGTAGCTGTACTGTATAACCGGGGCGTTGTCAACCTACTGCTCCTGAAGTGCTGAGTGTTTTTTTTATACCGAATTTTAACAAAAAAATGTCTTCTCGTTATTTTTGTTTGCCGACCCCTGTGCATACATATTGAGTGCGCAGGCGGTGCAACTGCACCGGGGGAGCGGGGGGGGTCAATGGGCGGAGTGGCCCCCGTAGGCACAGAGGTCCGTGCGAGTCGCTTGTGGAGCGAGCGCGCTGTGTGTGTGTGGCTTGCCGATGGTGCCCGGGCAGTGGTGGTGTAGCGGGCAACATCAGTGACGATTATCTCGACCAGGGCCTGGACTTCCCCGAGGTCGACTCAGCCTCAAATGAGTACTTGGTGCGGTAAACATCGCCACTAGGGAGACAAAGGCGGCAGGACGTGGTGCTGGCCACCCATCCATCCCCTCGTGTTGCCGTATCAGGCATTCGTAGGTGTTCGCTAACGGCACTTGCCCCAAAAGTCTGTTCAGACTACACGGGGGAGGATTTTTGTCTTTGCGGTTTGCTGATATTGCCTATACACTGCGTGCCTATACGGACGCAGATATACACAGAATTGTTGATTAAAAGTTTGTTTTGTGTGACGGGGAGAAGTAGCGTCTCGCTCTTAGGAAGGGCAATTTCTAAAAGCGTTCGCCTACTGTACAAGTATATCCGTTTTGCGATACGAAAGCATGCATGTTAATGACGAACCGAGTGAGCTTTATATTGCGTTGAATTTGTACAAATATCTGTGCACAAGATAAACGTGAAAAAACCCCAGTATTTTTAAATTACATATATTTTTTAAATATCACCTTGTTTATAATAGCTGAAATGAAAAAACTAAACTTTTTTAACTTACGTAAATATCAATTATCCCACGCGCTTACATCGTCATCATCGGGCGCGGAAAGTGTGCCGTATTTGTTAATGGATGAACGTTCGCGACATTTAAAAACGGTGACGCATCAGACGACACTACGCCTACAAAAAACGTTGTATCTGTTACGACTGCGGTGTTTTCAGGAATTATAACGCACCCCAAACGACGTGCCCGATGTTAATAGTTTAACAGATCTGGTCACGCGCGCGCACGCACGCGCGCACGTGTTACCAAAGTATAAGACGCACCGACATTTTTTGTAACACTTTAAAATTACGTGGGAAAAGTGCGTCGCACATTTGCAACAGTAGCAATGCAAATTCAAGTATACATTTGCCTGCGTGCAACTTTCATTACGGGTTTCATCCGTAGATCACAATGTGTAGAGCATTCCAGATAGTACGATAACTTACTGCTATATATAGTGCTATATATATAAAACTAACGTCAAAGCTGTGTAAATAGTCGCTTAAAGTATAAACACTGCCTCGTACTGCGCTTTCAGTGAGTGGCTAAGCGATCGTTTTAATATATAAACCGGAGATGCAGAATCGCTTTGGGGTCGGCATTTAGACCGGATCGGATTTGTAGTTTTTATCTGATAAAAGTGTTCGGGTGGGGCGTGCGTAAAGGCAACGTGAACCCTGCATCGTTACGTGAAGGAATGCCGCGTACGCTGTACAATATACCCTTACTTACGCACTACGTGTAAAGGGTTAAATGAACTCTTATTTCTTTAGAACTGCTTTTTTGTGTTTGGTCTGCTGTCTTTTCCCCGGACCTCCCGATTAGCGCGGGTTGGCTTCGTACGACACGAAAGCAGTTCAACATACACACAAATATACCTACTTACATAGATTAACAAAATAAAAAAAAGACTTGCATACAAAACGATAAGTGAATGTTTTAAGATTAGTAGGTTAACATTTACACTTACTTTATCCACGTTTCCGACGCACGTGGTACATTCCAACAATAAACACACTGCCCCGTGTCGTCGTGTACGTGGCGATGTATAAAGAAGATATTTCGTGCGTTATCCCTAGGCATACATATCAAGAGGCATGCGTGTGACATGCCTCAACACAGCGCTATGACAAAGATTCCCCGTATAGCCTTCAAAGAATGTTGGGGCAAGTGCTGTTAGCGAGCAGCACCGCAATAGACCAGAAAAGCCAACACGAGGGGTTGGGATGGTCAGCCCCACGCCCGGCCGCCTTTGTCTCCCCAGTGGCGATGTTCGCACATCGCACCAGGTACTCATTTGAGGTTGAGTCGACCCAGGGGAGGCCCAGGACAGGTTCAGATAATCGGGTCGTCGGGTTCGTAGCGCAGCGTAGCGCTAACCGCTATGCCACCGCTCCCCACACAGTGCTACATATACACACACACGCACGGGTATTTGATATCCGCACAGAACCCAAATTGCCTGGAATGCGCCAGGTCTCGTCCCATCTTGCAAGCTAAGCAGCGATTAACCTGTCCAGTGCTTGGATGGGCGATCTCCGTCCTGCGAGGATTGAGATCGTTGCGTGCATGCTAGACTAGGTAAGAGCGTGGGTCTCTATGTTTACCTAAGTAAGCGTATAAGTCTCTGTGTTAGACTAAGTAAGAGCAAGGGCCTCTGTGTTAGACGAAGTAAGAGAGTGGGTTTCTGTGTTAGACTATGTAAGAGCATGAGTCTCTATGTAAGTCTATGTAAGAGCGTGTGTATCTCTATGTAAGTCTATGTAAGAACCTGTGTATCTCTATGTAAGTCTATGTAAGAATCTGGGTATCTCTATGTAAGTCTATGCAAGAGCCTGTGTATCTCTATGCAAGTCTATGTAAGAGCCTGTGTATCTGTGTAAGTCTATGTAAGAGCCTGTGTATCTCTATGTAAGTCTATGCAAGAGCCTGGCTATCTCTGTGTAAGTCTATGTAAGAATCTGGCTATCTCTGTGTAAGTCTATGTAAGAACCTGGCTATCTGTATGTAAGTCTATGTAAGAATCTGGCTATCTCTATGTAAGTCTATGTAAGAGCCTGGCTATCTCGATGTAAGTCTATGTAAGAGCCTGGCTATCTCTATGTAAGTCTATCTAAGAGCTTGTGTATCTCTATGTAAGTCTATCTAAGAGCTTGTGTATCTCTATGTAAGTCTATGCAAGAGCCTGGCTATCTCTGTGTAAGTCTATGTAAGAATCTGGCTATCTCTGTGTAAGTCTATGTAAGAACCTGGCTATCTGTATGTAAGTCTATGTAAGAATCTGGCTATCTCTATGTAAGTCTATGTAAGAGCCTGGCTATCTCGATGTAAGTCTATGTAAGAGCCTGGCTATCTCTATGTAAGTCTATCTAAGAGCGTGTGTATCTCTATGTAAGTCTATCTAAGAGCTTGTGTATCTCTATGTAAGTCTATGTAAGAGCCTGGCTATCTGCCATCTCTACGTGAGGCTAGTGGACGTGACTCGGAAATAAGAAGCGCCGAATATAAATCCGTATAGGCGCTGCGATGGAGATCGGCATTCCGGCCAGCCGATCGACCGACCCCGTTGGGATAGCGGCTCTGCTCGGCTGGGAATAAGGAGGAGGAGGATGAGGGGCGGCGGAGGATGCCGTAGCGCGGCTGTCCCCCGGATAGTGGAGCTACGATTACGCGTCGACGCCCCGGCTACCGGGGGGCACTGTGCTCGCTGCACGTCCGCAATTACCCCCCCCCCCAGAGGGGAGCGATGCAATTTTCGTCTTACGTGCGTCATTCTTCATATACTTGGCCGCACGGCACCACCTAATTTGCCGACAGTCTGATTTATCCCGTATATACTCTCCTGCTGCTCCTCCTCCTGCTGCGTTGCGTCCACGTGCTGGAGCTGCGCGCGTGGATATCTGAAACCGGTCCCGCGCCCCCGCCCGCTACGTCGATTGTGCCTTAGACGAGCATTGTACCTAGTTCCGTGTGTGTGTGTAAAACATCGGCACTGGGAAGACAAAGGCGGCCGGGCCCTTGTGTTAGCCACCTACCCAACAAACCCCCGTGCTCGCGAAACGGCGCTTGGCCCGCCGACAGTCTGTCAAGGCTACTCAGGGGACGATCGCTGCTTTCTTCTGGGTGTGTGCGCGCGTGTCAATTCCTCACCGAACACGTTCGCTGTTGGGCTGGATGTGGCACGTGACTCGCGCGCCACAGCGAGATGTACTGTATACTCGATGTGGTGGGTCGGGTAGGAGAAATATAAATGTATGTGTAAATTTTTTTTCCGGATACGGACAGCCCTGGCCAACGTTAAACGCTGGCTCCGTGTATAATGCTGGCGCAGCTACGAACTAGATTTGTGTGCAATACAGCACGCTGTTCGGAAACTCCAACGGGGAGATACCGCGGGCACGCTTTCGCATATTGCAATAGGCGCACGGGTGAATGGTGTTACACAGCTAGCTATGCACGGCGTGGAGCGGTGGCGCAGTGGTTAGCGCACTGCGCATTGAACTCGCCGGCCTGAATTCGAATCCCGCCCACGGCTAACGCTCAGCGGCAAATACCCCATCGACAACCAAGCGTACCCAGGGTGGTGAAGTATGGTCAAACGACCCCAGCGACGGGCAACGGCGTGCGCTTGACACTAATCCAGCAGTGG